GGGCCGGGGCCCAGACACGACGCGACGCCCGCCGGAGCGGGACCATGTCGGGCCCCGAGGAAGAGGAGCCGCAGCCCCTGCAGCAACGGGCCAAGGAGATCCTGAGGGGATTCAAGCTGTATCCGACCCGGCTGGCCCGGGACTGAGCGAGCTAAGAAGGGAGGGCGGCGGAGGGGGGAAAATACGGTAACGGGGAGAACGTGCGGGAGTGAAGGGGGAAGAACGTGCGGGAGTGAAGGGGGAAATACGGTAAAGGGGAGAACGTGCGGGAGTGAAGGGGGAAATACGGTAACGCGGGGCCACGGTCTTGATGCGCAGCACCAGAGAGAAGGGGAATACGGTCGGGTGGGGTGGGGGCTTCGAAGCAAATACGGTAATGAGGAGGTGGGGTGGAAAGGCGCTCGTAGCTCGTTGCTGTGCGGCTTTCTTTGGGCAATTACGGTATGCCTCGCCAGCTCACGGGACTACATTTCCCAGTATCCCCCTGCAGCACCGCCGGCTAAGGGTTTCTGGGAATTGTAGTCCCCCCCCCCAAAAAAAGTTCTGTTGGGTTCTGGTCTGTTCTCAAAATGTGCCTTGTTCTGTTTCCAGTCTCTGCTTCTAGTTTCGAAGGTAGGGGAATTGGGTGCGAAATCCTAAATGGGAGGAGGTGTCATACTGGGGGTAAATGTGGTGCTTTTATGAGAGGTGGGAGTGGACCTTAATGGATGGATGTAGGGTGTTGCCTGGATTCAATTGCTATCCCCAGTTAGAGTAGACCCATTGAATCCAGTGCCCAGTGATGCCTTCAGGAAAAGAGGCAGACCTCTAATGTGAGATGGGCAGACTCAGTAAGGGGAAACCACTGCATAGTTGGCAAGAAGACCTGAATAGGACCTTTTGGAGGTGATTAATTCGCAAGGTCACCGTAACGTGAAAGTGATTTGAGCACACATAAGGACAAAAAGTCCACAGTGGTGTGAACCCTATTGATTCAGTGGGTCTTCGGCGGGGCAAGAAGAAGTAGTAATTTTTATGGTCCCGGAAGTAAGGAGGGAGATTGGAAATGTTGCTGTCTGCAGCAGTTTTGTGTCTGGATGGTACCTCCCTCCTTTCAGCAGGCCACATTTATTTCAGGTAATGTAAATTAAGACTCTTACAGAGTGTTCTCTGCTGAAAATGACTGTCCTTTGAGCCTGTACTCAGACAGGGAAGCATACTATCATCTGCTTATAGCTTTGGCGCCAAAGTGCTCTGTGGCTTGGCAGGTTTGCCAGGCTTTAACAGAAGGCAAACTGATTCAGACTGTAGAGCAGGGAAAAGCCAGCCGCTCCTCCTGGGACCTAGCTCTCTCTTCTCTTCTGAACTTGGGTCTAGACTGGAGTCTACAGATGTGAACCTCGGCGGGATTCGTCTGCGTAATCCACCTCAGTGAGTGCCAAGAGCAGGAGTGGGTGCATTGCAGTGAAGATTTGCAGGATGGGAGCTGGAGAGCGTGTGAACACATGGGCCAAACAGACTCACTGGGGCAAGAGGATGGGAGCTGTAAGGCGCTAGTCAGCCTGATTTAAGAGAAGAAGGCCACCTTCCTAATCTGAGAGATGATGGTGATGCATTGGTAATGGTCTAAGACTGCCATTCGGGGCATAGCCATTGAGGAGTAAGACAGGCACAGTCCGTTCTTGAGGAAATAAGTATGCATACGTCTGCCAATGAACAAAAACATTTTATTTTCTCTGTCCTACATAGTATATCCATAAGACAGAAATGTAGAAAGAAAGCAAATATAACATGATGTTATGTTTTGCCAGCTGGAGGCAGTCACTAAAATACTGACCTCTCAGTTCAAGGAGGTCACATACTGGAGAATCTGGGTCTCTGCAATCTGGAGAAAAGGAGGTTTTTGGAGGATAGAAATAGAGGTTCTTGCTACCTGTCTGGTTTATTTTTTTTAAGTACGAACCCTGCACATTGGGCAGCTTTGGGATGGTTGTGTACGTGCCAAATGGGCCCAAATGATCTTCTTAAAACGTGGGAGGGTTTAAATGTAGTCTTCTTGCTGAGGCAAAGCCTGCCATGGCCCAGTTTGAGAAATCCTGGAACAAGCTGCAATATGTTGACTTAATTTGTAGTCTCTGCACAACAGGCTGGGTTTTTTTGTTTGGTGTTCAGAACTGGAAATTGAATGTTTGCAGGAGTGGAATAGCTTTTCTCTTGGGGCAGGGCTGAGAGGCCTAAGGGAGTGGCTCACTCAGTAATGCTGGGTGAAGAAAATTTCTGAGCAACCTACTTGAATCGGAGTTCTTGGATTTCTGTCTCTCTGTTTGAATGAATCGTAGCAGCTCCACATGGTGTTGCAAACAGATCTTTAAAAGGCCCTGACTTCTGGAAGGTGGCCATCTTTTGCAGTGTGTTGAGACTTATAAAAATTCAGCAACATATTGATGTAATGTTTGAACAAGAAGGCAGCTGAGCTGCTAAATAGGCAACTCACCTTATTGCTTCTGGTGACTTAAAATTACTCTCAGATAAACAGACAAGGCAGCTTGACCAGGGTTTTAAAGATGGCAAATGATATAGCTTTTGTATGTGTGGATGGATTAGAAAATGTTTTTTAGATTGGATTAGGCATCCCTTAGTCTCAAGAGACTATGGCAATGTGCTCTGAATAGAGGACTTGGAACAGCATCTCGTGTGGCTGAGAAGGCCAGTTCGAGAGTGACCATTCCTTCCACACTGAAGACAAATACAATCTGTCCCCTGTCCAGCTCCCTGATTTGGCTGGTTTCGGGACGGCCTCTTTGCCTTGGCCTGCTGGACAAGGGACTCTTCAAATTGGGAGAGGCCGTGATGCACCACCTGCCTCCAGGCTGAACGCTCAGATGTCAATGTTTCCCATCTGTTGAGGTCCATTCCTCCCTGGCAGATATCCTTGTATCACAGCTGTGGTCTCCCTATGGGGTACTTTCCCTGCACTCATTCTCCAGACAGGAGATCTTTTGGAATCCGACCATCTGCCATTCTGGCAACATGCCCAGGCCAACGTAGACATAACTGTTTCAGTAATATATACATGCTAACAATTCCAGTTCTTTCTAGGACTACTCTATTTGGAACTTTGTCCTGCCAGGTGATACCAAAAATGTGCCAGAGACAACGCATATGGAACGTGTTGAGCTTCCTCTCCTGCCGTGCACTGGAGTTCTGGGATTTCTGTCTTTCTGTTTGAATGAATCATAGCAGCTCCACATGGTGTTGCAAACGGATCTTGAAAAGGCCCTGACTTCTGGAAGGTGGCCTTCTTTTGCAGTTTCTTATTGAGCCATACTCTCTTTGTGAGTCTAGAGAACATGGTAGCTGCTTTGCCAATGCGTTTATCCAGCTCGACATCTCGAGAGAGAGTGTCAGAGATCGTTGAGCCAAGGTACACAAAGTCATGAACAACCTCCAGTTCTCGTGTGGAGATGGTAATAGAGGAGGTGAGTCCATGCCCTGGCCCATGACTTGTGTTTTCTTCTGGCTGATTGTCAATCCAAAGTCTTGGCAGGCCTTGCTGAAACGATTCGTGAGTTGTTGGAGGTCTTCAGCAGAGTGGGCAACAATGGCTGCATGATCGGCGAAGAGGAAGTCCCCCATGCCTTTCAGCTGGACTTTGGTCTTCACTCTCAATCTAGAGAGATTAAAGAGCTTTCCATCTTATCTAGTCCGAAGATAGACACCTTCTGTTGCAGTTCCAAAGGCCTGCTTCAGCATGACCGCCAAAAAAAGATCCCAAACAGGGTGAGGACACAGCCCTGTTTCACTCCGCTTCGGATGTCAAAGGGATCTGATGTAGAAGATGCTACTTACTAATTATTTCTGCGATATCTACAAGGCCACCCCCAGTTTCTAGCAGAAATGACTTGCCCATTTTCCTCTCTGTGATGAAGTCTGGAAAATAAATTTTAAAGGGGAAGAAGCCATGACCTTGGACGAGCTGCAATGCTACTGCAGATTTCTAAACTCCTTGATTGTGGTAGCACCTGCAGAATTCCAGTTGGATTCCAGATAGCCTTCCTTGTTAAGGGGATTATAGCTGAGAGATCAGGGGCACTGGGAAGAAGACAGGGTAAGCTAGTTCACTGCAGACAGGAGCTGGCTTGACAGAGAGAGACTTAAAGCCAGCTACATGTGCGCTGCCAATAAGGAACTGCACGAAACCCTTCTGTATTAGTCTTTAGGAAAAGCCTCTGAGACCTTCCCTCTCCACCCTCCTTGTAGTGAAAGGCACTGAGGTCACAGCCTCCTGCTGTGATTTCTCCCTTGGGCATCCAGTGTCCAGGAAGGGGCTTCTAAGTCCTCTTCCATTCATGACATCCTTCACAGTGGGCCCAGAGGCCTTTTGGCTGTGATGGAACTGCCCAGCAAACTTATTCCTGATGTGATTCTTTGGAGTCTGAAGCCAGAAGATTGTTGTGGGTTTGGAATGCTGGCTGCGTTTTAGTGGAACTAACTGCTTGCTGTGAGAGAGTAGGCCAGGTGGAAAGAAGAGCGAGTTGTATCCATGCAATAGAAGTGTTTTATTTTCTAGTCTTTCTCCTGCCCTTCATCTCAGCCGTTGTCATTTCCGTTCTCTTCACCCTCAATGCCATGTAGTCGCAGCAGCTTAGAATGTGAAATGGAGTCTTAAATACCTTAACTCAGACATTAAACCCAGTAACTTTAATTAATTGTCATCTTTAGAAAGTCATTTATGGTAATAGGTGTATAGCATAGTCTTACACATGACTATTTGGCAATAGGTCCCACTTAATTCTATGGAGTTTGCTTCTAGGTCATGGTGTGTGAGCTGGCCAGAAAGCTGAGCGAGTTAGGTAGAAATTGGGAGTTCAGTTCCCCTCTGTGTGTCCCAGGAGAAAAGACAGTCTGTGTGGCCTCGGGCAAGCTGCACAACCCCAAGGTGCCTACTGAAGAGGGGAAAGGATAAAGAACTTCTACTTAGAAAATCCTGAAAAGGGCCACCATATGTCAGGATTGATTTGAAGGCACACATTTATTGTTATTAAGCTGGTGTGAGGTTACAGCTTTAAGCATCTAAACCATCTGCTAATATTGTTCTGTGGCTTTTGCTGCATCTCTCCCCATGTGCAAGGTGTGTTT